ACGCCGAGCTCAAAAGGTTCACCATCACTGCTCTAAGCTGTTATGGAAAGAAGAGGGCTTGTTAATTAATTGACTGTAAAGAAAAGAGAGGCCAGGGGATCAAGCCCAGGGAACCCTGGATGACTTGCAGTCTGAGGATCATCAGAATGTTTTATTTTTATTCAGTACTTTACAGAACAGGCTCACCACCTTCACCTCGTGCACATCTCACAGTGGTCCCGTATCCCCCTGGCCAGGTAGCAGAGTGTATCTACAGGTTTTGGAGACCAAGCCATGGACATCCAGCGGGGGTGGGAGGGTCATTATTCTGCCCACCACAGGCTTGGCAGGGAGGCAAGGGGAGAAGTCATTCCCACTGGGATTCCGTCCCGCCTGTACATCCCAGCAGAGGCTCTGTCTAAGAAATGACCAGACTGGGGACTTACTACCTGGTAGGGGAGTGAGCTCCACCTGCAGCCCGGGAACTCTGGCCTGGATTCATCTCCTCTCTGTGGGTCGGGCCTGAATCTGTGGCTGCACTGCTTGGTGCCAGGAGGCCGCCTTGTTCCACACAAATCACAAAGCCAAGCGGTGCCCTGGGCTCTTGTGACAGTCCTGGCTAGGAAGGAGGGCTCAGCTTGGCAGGTTGGCCAAATACCAGGCTGCATAGTTACATCCTCACACCGTGGGACTCCCGATTCGAGCTGAAAGTGGGACAGCTCTGGGTGCCATCGCCAGGGCTCCACACGCCAACTGAAAGGCAGTGCAGTGACGCCTACTGTGAGCACAGTCTCTACACCTAGAACGTTCAGGGTTTGGGGCAAGGAAACCCAGTAACAAGAGGGAAAAACAGTTTCTCCGTCCCGCATGGCATCATGGGTGTCTTGGCATCATGGAGGGCAATTTATATTTTTTAAATTTTTGGTTATTTTTTGTTAATCCTCATAGGAGGATTTTTTTTTTAAGAGAGAGAGAGAATGGAAGGGAGGGGAGAGGCAGAGAAAGAGCAACATCCATTTGTTGCCTCCCACATGTACCCGGACCAGGACCTGGGATGGAGCCTGTAACTGAGGTACTTGCCCTTGGATCGGAATTGAACCTGGGACATTCAGTTGTGGGTCGACGCTCTATCCACTGAGTCAAACCAGCTAGGGCACAATTTACATTTTGTTCAGGTCTCAGGTTGAAGCGTCACCACGCAGCATTAGTTACTTTGCTATTTTTATCATTACCCAAAGTCAATAGAAGCCACTGGCATTCAGTAAGAGTTCTCCTGGTTCAGGAGGAAGGTACCAAGCAATTCCAAAGTCCCCCTGCTCCAGTGCACACGACAGCCTGGTTTCTGGCTTTCTTGTGCTCTCAATGACAGTTCCATGACCCAGGGGTGCCATTTAGGGGGAGGTCTAGCTGCCTGTGCCCACTGCAGGCGGAAGCAGGAGGGAGAGGACAGAAAGGGTGTGAGCACAGCGATGACTTGCAAGAACAAAGGAGGAGACCGGGAGTGGAAACTTCCCCAAGGCTGTGCTTGAAGCTGTGAAAGCACCAACTCGCTGGAGTTCAAGAACTTCTGAGGGTGCTGAGGGGACAGACAGCGGTGCATGTAGGAGCTGGCAGGAGTCCAACAACCCTTTTGCTTGTCTGGGATCCCAGCCCCCTGGTGTTCCTGGGGTGTATTTCTTCTTCTTGCCAGGCTGCCTGGCCAGAGACCTCCACACACCCAAGTTCTCTTTATTTGTTATCTGGGGCCCCTGATGCGTAATAAGCCACCTCTCTGGGTCCCCTTTGATCCTCCCTTCTCAGCTGCTGGCTCTTGTTGGCTGGAAGTAGCCACTGATGACTGTCGGGTGAAAAGTGGAGCCCCGGGTGGCAGCCCTGAGGGAGTGACAGGAGATCAAGGGCAGACGGGCCTTCTGAGTTTACTCTCGTCCTTTGCTGTTTCTCAGAAGCCGCTCTTGACATAGAGACTCACAGCTGACCTGGTCTCTGTCTCCCAGGCTCCGAAGGTACACACTGCTATCAGCTACTTTTAATAACCCTGAAGATACCCCGGCCACATCCTACTCAAACAGCTGAGGTCAGGGGGGTAGGTCAGCGCCCTTCAGGCTGTTCTGCGGAGCAGCACGGCTCAGGTTAACGGTTTTCCTGTTCCACGGGAGGTGACCTGCCCTTCGGATGCTGGTCCTCCCTTGGCTCAGGTCTAACTGGGCCTCATCTCCAGTACTTTTCCTACTTCCTCTGTAGAAGCAATCTGTTGCTTGTGTGTGAATCCTTAAGGACTGGGCTCTTATTATAAAGAATTTCCTGGAAATCTCCCAGCTCTGGGACCTTCTCGTTTCAGGTTAAAAGGGAAGGATTCTGGAAAGGTGCTGGGTTCTCTGCATTTTCCCACTTGTCTAATTTAAATTATTTAAAGAACATATTTCCAATTGCTGAGACAAGAATAGGCTTGCCTAACCTGCAGCCAGCCATTTCCATACGACCTTTTTAAAAAAAATAATAAATCTGCATACCATCTGTGATAGTTTACCTTGATATTTCACATGAAATAGCCCACACTATCCTTACCCTAAGCAATATTTGTAAAATCATGGTTTGATGTGATAGGTATAAGTTTGTTTTTTTAATCCTCACCTGAGGATATGTTTTCATTGATTTTATTCTATTACTAGAGGCCGGAAGGATGTCTGGTCTAATTAGCATATTACGCTTTTATTATTATAGATTATTTTTTTCGTTGATTTGAGAGGGAGGGAGGGAAGGAGGGAGAAAGGTAAAAAGGGAGAGAGAGAGCGTGAGAGTGAGATGGAGGGAGGGAGGGAGGGAGAGAGAGAGAGGGAGAGAGAGAGAGAGAAACATCGATTGGTTGCCTCCCAACAGGGATCAAACCTGCAACCTTTGAGCCACTCGACCAGGGCATAGTGATAAGTGTAATTGTTAAAAAGAAATACTTCCCTGTCTGCCATCTACAATTATTTCCTATCCTACCAATGTGAGCCTCCCATGTTGGGGGACACTCATCTAGAATACAGTTTGGGGAAGAGATTTACATGAAAAACTTTGCTGAAACAAATCTAACACCATTTCAACTGAGCCAAAGATGAAATAATAATTTATCATTATTCTGTTCACAATAATTTTGGAGAGTAAAGAAACTTAACTTATTCTAGAATAATGCAAAATATCTCACTGCCTAAAGGTCAGTACTTATATGAGACAGAAAACTTATAAACATTATTAAATCCTATTTTTTAAAAGCCACCCGAGTTCTTTCTTTAAAAGTTGGTCAGTTAGCCACTTAGTCTCACATCTGGGGAGAACCAGAAGACACTGCTGTCCGCATGGTCCCAGCACATAGAGGCTGGACTAGAAAAACATAACAGGCGCTATCGTCTTTCCAGCCCCCACCCAAACCCTCCACTCCAAAAGCAGAACCAAGCTCAGCTGTGATCTGTGGTAATTCCATTAGCCCTGCAACGAAGCATTAAATTAAACTGCCTAGTGCAGATTCTTCCTTTGCTACAAGGGGAGACGTACCTTGTAAAGCCTGCACTTCATGCTCATGGATTTACTAACCAATTGCACAAACAAGCAAACTAATTTTGCGAGATTGTGAAATCTCCAGTGGGAGTGTCACAACAGCTGATTTTCCCCCCAGATAATATTTACTCTAAAGATTTTATTTCTGGAGAGCTTTACCTTTGGAAAGAGCCCTCCCATGGTTCATCTTTCTGTGGAATCTCCAAACCACTCCTTAAAAAAAAAGTAATTACAGGAACACAACCGACTCGAATTGGCATTGGCGTGGAAAGCCTTTTGTCATCTCTGGTACAAATCAGCACCCTGGACCCATGGGGGTGGGGCGGAGGGGGGGGGGGGTTAGACTCTGAGTAGCACAGACTATAGTCGGTGGCAGAGCCCGGGCCAGGTCCCCATTCCCCACACTAATGCAGCGCTCTCTCCATCAGCCGAAGCTTCCCAGCCTTCCCGAGAGAATGTGAGGACTTCCCTTCAGCAGATCCCCTTCCTGGGGGTCCCTTCGGTGGGTGTCTGCCTCTTTAGTTCGCTGCCCTAGTCCTCTGAAGCCAGAGAACCACAAAGTCCCCTTGCAAACAGTATGCTCTGCTAAGAGAACGACAAGAAGCTGGGCTTGTGCTACAAATACTTGGCTTTCCAACACCTGGGGGTGAGCACCCCTCACATCTAAACTCCACGGTATGTCTCACCAGCCCAGGTGCGGAAAGAGGTCAAGTACGCCAGAAAAATCCTGGCACAGACAGGTCACTGAAGGTGCTGGCGTCTAGAGGTACAGCACAGCGGCGCTCGAAGGGGTCTTGGGAATCACAACGGCCCAAACCTCTTCTTTAATAATTGCTCACGGTCACAGAATAGGTTTGTGTCAGAGTAAGGACTAGAAACTTGAATGCCAAATATCCCTCTTTCTCTATTCTAGTGTTTTCTGAGGCTCTTTTCGTCTCTGACGGTAGCAGCAATGAAGACCGGTGACGCCCTATAACCTCAACTGCTCAGGCTCTAATCTCAGGGCAGGTGTATAAATCTGAACACTTAAGCCTTGCCTCCCATTACCAGGCAACGGGAGACTGACGGCGAGGCCAGCTCAGCTGAGGCCGGAGCTCCCGTCTGCACACACACCTGTGCATCCCGAGGGACTGTGCCAAGCTGCAATGCCTAGAAAGCTGCCACACGAGGAAGGAAAGCAGATCCCGGGGGCCTGCTGAGCTGACAAAGAGTCATAGCAACAGTCAAAACAACAACGAAGGACTCCAGCCTGAACTCCCTGCGCTCTCGCTCTCAGAAGCACCGTCCGACGCAGAGCAGAGCTGGAGCACCCTTCAGCCCTCTCCTTCCTGCTGTGCCCGCTGCTCTCCCCAGGCACGGCTTCGGGCCTCCAACCTCCACGTGGGTGAAGCAGCACCCGTTCGCTCTTGATATCACCACCCTCATTTCTCGGGCCGCTGTGGAAGGACCCCTGCGCCTGGCCAACCCCAAGTGGAGCCGCTTACCTGTCGGCGTCTCCGAGGCCCAGGGAGGTGTTTCTTTGCAGGGTCTCCCGCACTACAGCCATCCCATCAGGGAGTCGGTTCAGGCGGCGGGTGTAGAGGCCAAGTCCGCCATCGGTCATGTACCTTTAAAAGAAGAGGAGGATGCAAACGTATGGTCAAAAGCAAGTCTCGTACAGTCTCATCGCTCATATCCAGGGAAGGCACTGAGTCTTCACCGAGGCTTCGTCACTGATCGAAGCCCAGGGCTCACTTGGCCGCCGAGTCAGCCCAAAGGATCACCAGCTCGCTAGCAAAAATAGAACTCAGCTTAATTAACCCAGACTCACAGGAATCCATGAAGCAGAAGGGAACTAGTGAATAAATTTAACTGCCAGATGTGTTCATGACATTCTTTTTAACGTCAGCTATTATACAAGCAGGTTTTTTTTTTTTACCCAAGTACTGTGAATAAAACTGACAAGTCATAAGTACATCATAGGAAACAGTACAGAACAGGGCCCTGGAGAATGCAGGCAAGCTTTTGAGAGAGGCGGAAAGAAAGGATAGAGGATAAGAGAGGCACCTCTGCCATCACAGGCAAGTCACTTCTCTGGGATTTTCCTTTAAAGGATGGGGATATCACAGCCTTCCCGCCTTACACGGCAAAGGTGGGGATTAGTGAGATGAGGCCTATGAAAGTGCTCTGGAATGTGCAGTGGAACCTACAAAGGAAAGACATCATCAGGGTTGTCATCATCTTGAAGTATCTACGATGGTGCATTCACCTTTGACACTGATGTCTTCAGGTGACTGTCACAAAGCTCTCTGAATAACACGAATGCTAATGTACTGCTCTCCAGATCTCTCGGTGATGCCACAATACTATCTTCTGATGAAATCGGTGTTGTCCAGGGAAGCGGGGTGACCCCTGGGACTTTCTGTATAGATGGATGACTGTCCATAGACTAGACCAGTTCCTGAGTCATCAGTAGGAGGTGGTTCAGGTCCGAAGCAGCTTTACACCTCTACCTTGGCTCCTTCACAGAATCTAACACACACACACACACACACACACACACACACACACACACACACATTTTGTTGTTGTTAATCCTCACCTGAGGATATCTTTCGATTTTTAGGGAGAGGGGGAGAGAGAGGGAAAGACAGAGTAACATCAATGTGAGAGAAACACATCTATTGGGTTGCCTCTTGCACGTGCCAGACCAGGGCCCGGGCTGGGGAGGAGCCTGCAACCAAGGTACGTGCCCTTGACAGGAATCGAACCCGAAGGCCCACGCTCTATCCACTGAGCCAAACTGGTTAGGGCCACAACATCTAATATTTTAGCTTTAGAATATACGGGTTAGATCCTAACGGGTTTCAATTCGTGTTTGGGAACTTCTTGTGACATATTCTTAGAAAACGGAATTATAAGGTGCTCGGGGTTGCCCAGAACCAGGAAGTTCAAGTTAGGGGCAGAGAAGAGAGTGCTCAGGGGAGCCATCTGGGGTGAGAAGGAACTCCCAGGACGGGACAGAGAACTTCCCGTAGCGCAGCTTCCACGACACCCTGCCTGAATTGAACTCCGATCTCTCCCCTTGCTCCCAGTTATGACATTAAAGATCACAGACAATGCAATGCCAACGTAATGGAAACTGTAGGAGTCAGTCAAACCAATCGTTTGTGGTTGTGCCAACCACACAACAGGACAAACTGAGCTTTTCATTCAACTGTTCCATATTAACGACAAACGGCACTCTGTGAATAGACTAAAAACCACCAAAACTGCCCTCCCAGTCCACTCTCCTCCTAATTTTGTTCTTCTCAGGGAGGGTGAGAGGGCCATGAATCTTGACTAGTCTAAGCCAAACACAGGCCTTCTATCTGCCTTGCCACTGACTAGTTTAGAAATGGGTTGTATGATAGAAGTTTGGCTAGTGAAGTCATGTCTGCTGGAGACTTCTGGGAAAGCTTTTCCACTCTTAAAAATGACATAAGAGCCCAGCTGGATGGCTCAGTTGGTTGAGCATCATCCTGTGCACCAAATGGTCACCGGTTCACTTCCCAGTCAGGGCACATACCTGGGTTGTGGGTTTGGTCCCTGGTCGGGTGTGTAAGGAAGGCAACTGATCAACTTTTCTTTCTCACATCGATGTTTCTCTCTCTCTCCCCCCTCTCTCTCCTTCTATCTCTCTCTCACCCTCTCTCCCGAGGAAATAGCAAAAAGATGGCTGTCTGCAAGCCAGGAGGGCGCCCTCACCATGAATCGAATCTTCAGACACCTTGATTTTTAAACTTCTCAGATGCCAATAGTGTATGAAATAAATGTTTGTTGTTTAAGCCTAAATAAACAAATACCACTGAATTTTGTACTTTAAATGGTGAATTTTATGGTATATAAATTATATATTAATTTTTAAAAAGTGATGACAGAGTTAACTAATTCTTTTGTGTTATTACTTTTTAATGCTTGCTTCTCCCATATAAGACAGTAACTTCCTTGAAGGCAGGGACTATTCTTATTTTGTTCAACGCTGTATCCCATGTGCCTAACACATCCTCAGTGCTTATTAAATACTATTGTTGTTGAATGAGTGAAGCCCAAAAACATAGTCATCGGGTGGGGTTTAGCAAGAACTTGTTGGAAGGATTCCAATTACAGGTTTTCTTTCTTCTTAAATGTCAGCAAACTTGACATCTAAGACACATGGCAAGGCAAAGTAAACGACCTGTCAGTCTGTCCACCTGTCTGTCCATCCTTCCACCCACCCATCCAACAGAGGTCGTGACTCGTGGTCCAGCGGTGGGCTACATGCACACATCCTACAACTCGCACATGCAGAGAAAACCACCTCCACCCAGATGCAGGAACTTTGCCAGAGGCTAGACTTGCTAGAGCAAATGTCCTTTCAAGGACAATTCAGTGGAAGCTCTTCAAAACACAATCTTGCACCATTAAGCAAGGCAGTTAATTTGATGTCAGTAAAGTCCTTTCAAGCATATAGATAAACAAAAAATTTTCAACTGGGGAGATCTTGTCAAAGGACAAGCTAACTTTAGCATTCACTTCCCTGCCGGATTTTTACTGCCGGTGAAACAACACAAACAGTTGGGCAATTACACGTACCCGGGCATGTAGACGAGGCCCACACACAACACCCCTGGCTTTCTGTGAAGGGCAGAGCACAGAGCCTGGTCAGCATTCCCGAGATGGGACACGGAGACATGCTGCAGCCCAGCCCGGCAACGCCCAGTTGCAATATAATTTGGTTGAAAAATGACCACCAATGACAGTGGGAGGGCCCTGGAGGGTGGGACTGATGTGATAACTTGGCTTGTCAACTGATGCTGGGAATTCCAATTTTGTTTAGACAGAGATGGAGGGAAATGCAAGGCTAAATCCAGATCCTCTACCTTCTTAAATGCACCTGAAAGCTAGGGAGCTGAATGCAACTCATCTGATAATAATTCAGTTTTTTTAAAAATATATTTTATTGATTTTTTACAGAGAGGAAGGGAGAGAGATAGAGAGTTAGAAACATCGATGAGAGAGAAACATCGATCAGCTGCCTCCTGCACACCCCTCACTGGGGATGTGCCCGCAACCCAGGTACATGCCCTTGACCGGAATCGAACCTGGGACCTTTCAGTCCACAGGCCGACGCTCTATCCACTGAGCCAAACCGGTTTCGGCAATAATTCAGTTTTATTGCAAATCTATTTCATTCATTCATGAATGTGTGTGTGTGTGAGAGAGAGGGCAAGGGAGAGAGAGAGAGAGAGAGAGAGAGAGAGAGAGAGAGAGAGAGAGAGAATTTACTTCTAGAGGTTTGTAGAAATATATTCAATATATTAAATCCTATATTTTTTATAATACTATTCAAAATAAATTCTGTTGAATGTTCTCATTAGCAGACGGCATAGCACTGGGGATAGCTGTCACTAGAACCAGCCTCACATTCAATAATCTAATTTGACATACTTATTTCTAAGTTATTATCCACCGATTACAACAGTCTGATTTACAAAAAAGCTCGGTACATATTTTTCAGTAACCCTCCAGCCTCAATACAAAGATACATTTTTTTGTTCAACCCAAGTTTGCATAGGAATTGTCTACAGAACACGTTAATGTAAACTGCTGTGATCAAGTTAATCATAATTTACAGGGGGAAAGAAAGCATAATTTGCAAGGGAAGCCATCACTGGCATGTTCTTCTGAAACACCAGCCCTTGCCCAGCAGTTAGAAAGGCTGGTGTTTCTGAAGGCTCCGGGGGAGAGGAGGGCGGGAGTGATGGCTGCACCCCATCTTGGGGAGCTTTTGGGAGGCGCACGTAGAGTGGAGATGAAATAACTTGCCTGAGGTCACAAGGAAAGGAACCAGCCGATCCAGGGACTGAATCCTGAGCCCTGTGCTGGTTTCCTTCTCTTTGGGGGAAATAAATAACTAGTGCTAGAGCCTAACGAGGTGCTGGTAACATCCTAGAATTTGCTCGATGGGGTCCTGCCTGAGCGGCCAAGCAACTGAAGGATTCCATATTCTCCTCCGGATTTCGGCAGCGATGGATGGAGGGGGCTCGCTGCCTTGCCTTCCACCGCTTCCACCAGGGCTGGGATGGAGAGTAGGAGCTTCTGCTAAAGACACAAGGTGTCTGTGGGGTGTTTCCTTTGCTGTTCGAGGCTGGGGTGCTCTGGGTTGGCCAACGAACATCAGAGCTAGAAACAGGGCTCTGTGGTCAGACAGACCTGGGTTCCTCTGCTCCTTGCTAGCAAAGCGACCTCACACACGTCACTACGAACATGAACTAATGGGTACCGACGCTTGCTGGGCACCGAGCAAAGGGCTTCTCATAAATCATGGTATTTGAGCTTCAAAAGAATCCTACCAAGTGTATTATTATCTCTAGTTTTCTGATGAAGAAAATGAAACTGGGGTCAAGATCACAGTGCAAGCAGGTGGGTTCAAATCTCAGCTCTGTCACTTTCTGGGTATATTTTCTTTGAATTCCAGTTTCCACATCTGCAAGATGGGTGGAACTGCAGACTGGCCTCACAGGGCTGTGGTGGGGGAAAGAGACAGTGTGCAGACAGCCCAGTGCCAGGCACGTCAGGAAGGCTTATCACAGTGCAGTGACTGCAT